TATGCTGAGTGAAATAAGTCAATCACAAAAGGACAAATATTGTATGAGACCTCTATTGTAAAAACCCATGAAAAAGTTTACATGCAAAAAGTAACAATCTGTTGGTTACGAGGGATGAGAGGGGTGGGAATACTAAATAGGCAATAGATAAGTGGTATCTTTGGTGAAGGGTGGGACAGTACACAATACTGGGGAAATCGGTACAACTTGTCCAAGGAAAGGTCATGGAAGCTCCCTAGACACATCCAAACTCCCTGAGGGACTGAATTGCTGGGCGGAGGGCTGTGAGGACCATGGTCTCAGGGAACATCTAGCTCAATAGGCATAACACAGTTTATAAAGACAGTGTTCTACATTCTGCCTTGGTGAGTAGAGTCTGGAGTCTTAAAAGCCTGTGGGCAGCCATCTAAGATACTCCACTGGTCTCATCCCTTTGGGAGCAAGGGTGTGTGAAGAGAACAGGATACAAGGAAAAGATTAGTCCGAAGGGCACTCAAGGCTGTGATCTCTGAGAAGTAGATTGCCAGGCCTGTCTTCCAAGGTGCCTCTGGGTGGGTTCGAACAGTCAACCTTTCGGTTAGTAGTCGAGCGCTTAACTGTTTGTACCACTCAAAGACCTTCGTATATAAAAATATAATGGATTTTTATATGCTGATCTTGTGTCCTGCAACCTTGCTAAATTCATTTATTAGTTCTAGTAACTTTTATTGTATGTTTCAGTTTTCTACATAGATGATCATGTTATTTTGGGCATAAAGCCAGTTTCACTTCTCCTTTTCCCATCTGGATGCCTTTGATTTTTTCTTGTCATGTTCCATTAGCTAGAACTACAAGTACACTGGCGAATATAAGTGGTGAGAGTGGACATCCTTGCCTTCCTCCTGATTTGAGGGGGAAAGCATTCAATATGATGTTGTTTGGAGGTTTTCCATAAATGCCCTACATTAGGTTGAGAAAATTCCCTTTTATTTCTAATTTGCTGTGAATTTTTATCAGGAATAGATGTTAGATTTTCTCAAATGCTTTTTCTGCATCTACTGATATAATCATATGGACTTTGTATTTTAGTTAATATTGTGAATTACATTGATTAATTTTCAAATGTTGAACCAATCTTGCATCCCTGGGGTAGATTCCACTTGATAAAGATGTATTATCCTTTTTATACCGTATTTTTACACAAATATGTAAAGTATTAAACGTGTGCCTTCTACGTTTGTTTACCATCCGCTCCCACCTCTCCACAAGGTATTTTCCTAAGTGCGGCTATGCTAACTTTTTTTTTTACGTTGCTATAAAAAATTAGCACAGCGTGCTTACTTCGAGGGGAGAGGGAGCGGTTCACAAACAAACTTAGGTGTGCATTATTTCTTTTATTAACACGGTAGTTAGTGCTATAAATATACCCCTAAATACTGCTTTAGTGGCATCCCACAAATTGTGATATGTTCTGTATTCATTTGCATACATTTCAATACTGTGCTCCCTGTTGTGCATTGACTGAAAACAGTTATTTCCTTTATTTTTTGTCCACATTTCCAGTTGTTTGTGGCAAGAGGGTAACTACCAAACCTGATACTCCCTAGTGGCCATTGGGATATTTTATTGAGAAGGCAAGAGAGTTTTTTTTTTTTTTTTTTTAAATAGAAACAGAGATTCCCCAAGGCAAATAGCAAATAGCGGGACCAGAAACTTGTCTAGTGATACCATATGATGTGAGAGTCTAGGATCATAAATACCCTGGACAGGTTCCTAGACAGGGAAGGAGTCAGAAAAACACAAAGATTATGTGGATACCTGCTTGCTGTGGTCCTGGGGAGCTCAGGACTCCCACTTCTACTCACCTTACTCTCAGGTCAATACTGTACCTGCTACTTTTCCTGATGCTGACAATACCCTGAATAGAGAATCTACTCTTTCACCATCACTAATACGATTATTATGCATCATGATGGAATATTGATCCCTAGAGCAGGAAAATATTGACATCAAAGTATAAATGATTGGTACTTAGTGCTTTACTGAGATTTGTGAGGGAGGAAGGAACCCTAATAAGACTGGTGACCTTGATGGGCTTTCAAGGATCCTCTCTACCAAGATAGCTGCCTTCAACTTATGCACCCTTACCTTTTTTCCCTCTATCTGCAGTTACGATAGCGTGCCGTTCCTCATGCATGACCATAACTTGAAACGAACAACCAATATTGAGGAGGTGCTACCCAGTGCCGCCCTCAACAGAAGTGAATTCTTCACGTGGGATTTCCTGTCGAGTCTGAATGCAGGCAGGTGGTTTTTGAAGGTAATAGAACCATGGGTAAGGTACAGTCCGCAGCTCAACAAACCTGTTTTGAATCTCTCTGCATGTGCTGTTCTTTGAGATACAGCCAGAGGTGAAGATAGGCAAGTGTACACACAGTTGTATCCCAGTTTGGCAGCAGCATTCTAGCACTGGCAGGAGGGTCTTTCCAGTATTCATTCAGTTGAATCGCTGCTTTCTACATTCACTGGAAAGTCTGAAGACATACTTGTAAACTTACTCTTGTCATATAATTCCTTTTTGTTCAAGCATTTCATAAAATTTTGTAGTGTGCCTACCATATACAGTAGTCCCCCCTTATCATGTACAATAGCTCCCCCTTATCTGCAGGGCATTTGTTCCCAGACCCCCAGTGGATGCCTGAACTGCAGATATACCAAACCCTATGGATACTATGTTTTGTCCTACACATACATGCCTACGATAGTTTAATTTATAAAATAAGCACAGTAAGAGATCAACAGTAATAACTAATAATAAAATAGAAAAATTATAACAATATACTGTAATACAAGTTACATAAATGTGGTCTCTCTCTCTCAGAATACCTTATTGTACTGTACTCACCCCTCTTCTTGTAATGATGTTGAGAACTTTCACCTTTTCACTTAATCCTTTAAAAGCTGCATTTTGGGGGGAATTTTTTGGTGATGCCGTGTTTCTTCACTAATGGAATGGATAGTGAATCATTGTTGGCATTTTTTTATTATCTGAAAAAATGAGATACCGATTGCAAGTGGGCCATATCGGTACCATGGCCCAGGAAGTGCATCACACTTCCTGGTTACACTTGAGCCACACAATATCTCATTATTATTATCTCAGCTTTCCAAAAATACACACAAAATACTAAATAAACATTGTACTTGCTGCACATAATTGTTATCAGTTTGATTTTGAGTGAAACTTTAGAGAACAAGGGATGACACATAAAGGCACTTTGCACTTACTGCACATAACTGTTGTTTGAGTAAGTTTCTTCTGAGTGCTGCATTCTCTGCATCGCCTTCTGGTTGTCTTGACTGGGAGGTGCTCTCCGTCAGGGAGGCAAGTACTTTATAAACGATGTCATAAGGGAGGTGACTAATGCAAGTGGGTCATATCAGTCCCATGTTCCATGAAGCACATCACACATGTGGTATATATCGGTCCCATAGCCCAGGAAGTACATCACACACGGTTTTCACCCTGAAAATAACTCATTTACTTGAATATTTCTGAATGCCGATAAATGTAACGTTCCAGTAACACAAAGGAAATAGTAAACGTACTTGCAAGCCTTATCTCACTGTCCAGAAGCCAAAAGACACAAAAATTTCACACAATCACTCCTCTGAGAAGCATCCCCTTATACAAATAGCTGTCAACACTCAAATGTGGCAAAGACCAACTTCCTTGTTTTTTCAGACAGTTGAACAAGCGTCTGCCACTATGCACTAAAGTGGCTCCAATGCCTGCCAATAAACCTCTAGGGGCAGAAAATGTAGCAGGAACATATATGTGCCAGTGCCCTTAAAAGGAAGCACTTTATGGTTTCTCTTTGGCATATCAAAATTGCCAGCATCACACGGTTGCACTTTGGGGCCATTATTAACTAAAATAGGGGTTACTTGAACACAAGCACTGCAATACGACGACAGTCGATCTGATAACCGAGTTGGCTACTAAGCGACTAATGGGCAGGTAGTGTATACAGTGTGGAAACGATGGACAAAGGGATGATTCATGTCCCAAGTGACATCTTTGCTTTTCAACACTTTCAGGGGGTCTTTTGCAGCAAATTAGTTTCTCTTTAACCAACTAATACACATACTGTTTAGTGACATTGGTTGACAACCCTGTGACGTGTCAACACTCTCACCTTCTTGACCTCGGGTTCCCCATTTCCATTCTTCCAGCTTTCCTGTCCCCTCCTGCCTTCTTGTCCTAGCCCCTGGGCTGGTGTACCCATTTAGTCTTGTATACATGGTTGAGCTACATGTATTATTGTTTGTTTTATGGTCCTGTTTAATCTTTGGATGAAGGATAAACCTCAGGAGTGACTTTAGTACTGAGTTAAAAGGGTGCTGAGGGGCCATACTCTTGAGATTTCTCCAGTCTTTGTCAGACCGCTAAGTCTGGTCTTTTTTTGTGAGTTCAAGTTTTGTTCTACATTTTTCTCCAGCTCTGCCTGGGACACTCTATTGTGATCCCTGCCAGAGCAGTTGGTGGTGGTAACCGGGCATCATCTAGTTTTTCTGGGCTCAGTCTGGTGGAGGTTGTGGTAGTTGTGGTCCATTACTTTCTCTTGTATCTTTGGTGTTCTTCATTCTTCTTTGCTCCAGCCAGAATGGACCAGCAGATGTATCTTAGATGGCCACTCGCAGGTTTTTAAGACCCCAGTCACTACTCACCACAGTCAGATGTAGAACATTTTCTTTATAAACTATGTTACGCCAGTTGAGCTAGATGTTCCCCAAGACCATGGTCCCCAGGCCTCAGCCCAGTAGTTCGGTCTCTTAGGGCATTTGGATGTGTCTAAAGTTTCTGTAACTTTGCCCTAGTCAAATTGTGCTAACTTTCCCAGTATTGTGTACTGTCTGTCTTGCCCTTCACCAAAGTTACCACTTATCTACTGTCTCGTTAAGTCTTTCGTAGCAGATTTGCCCATTGCAATATGTTGTTTGATTTCTTGACTGCCGCTTCCGTGGGCATTGATTGTAGAGCCGAGTAAAATGAAATCCTTAACAACTTCAGTATATATATTTTTTATTGTGCTTTAAGTGAAAGTTTACAGTTCAACTTAGTTTCTCTTACAAAAATTAATACGCACATTGTTATCTGACCCTAGCTGGTCTCCCTGTAATGTGACAGCACACTCCTCCTTTCTACCCCGGATCTCCCATGTCCATTTAACCAGCTCCTGTCCCTTTTTGCCTTCTCATTTCACCTCCGGACAGGAGCTGCCCATTTAGTCTCATGTATCTACTTGAGCTGAGAAGTACTCTCTTCACGGGTATCATTTTATGTCTTATAAGAGTTGGCTTTGGGAATGGTTTCAGTTCTGTGCTAACAGAGAGTCCTGGGGCCTTGTCTTCTGGGGTCCCTCCAGTCTCAGTCAGACCATTAAGTCTGGCCTTTTTACTAGAATTGGAGTTCTGCACCCTACTTTTCTTTTCGCCTGCTCCCTTAGGGACTCTGTTGTATTCCCTGTTAGGGTGGTCATTGGTGGTAGCTGGGCACTATCTTGTTCTTCTGATCTCAGGATGATGGAGTCCCTGGTTTATGTGGTCCTTTCTGTCTCTTGGGCTAATATTTTCCTTGTGTCTTGGGTGTTCTTCATTTTCCTTTGCTCCAGGTGGGTTGGGACCAATTGATGCATCTTAGATGGCCACTTGCAAGCTTTTAAGACCCTACATGCCATTCACCAAAATGGGATGCAGAACATTTTCTTAATAAACTTTGTTATGCCAGTGGAGCTAGGTATCCCCTGAAACCATGGTCCCCAGACCTCTGCCCCTACTACTCTGTCCCTTGAAGTGTTTGGTTGTATTCAGGAAACTTCTTAGCTTTTGGTTTAGTCTAGTTGTGCTGACTTCCCCTGTAGTGTGTGCTGTCCTTCCCTTCACCTAGGATATTTCTTATCTACTATCTAGTTAGTGAATATCCCTCTCCCTCCTGTGTTTAAACCTTTTTTTGAGTTCTTATAATAGTGGTCTTATACAGTATTTGTACTTTTGTGACTGACTAATTTCACTCAGCATAATGCCCTCCAGATTCATCCATGTTGTGAGATGTTTCGTGGAGTCATCATTGTTCTTTATGGTTGCATAGTATTCCATTGTGTGTATGTACCATAATTTGTTTATCCAAAGCGGGAAAGGAATGTGACACTGATGTCTAAAGGGGAAGGTGAAGTCTAGAAACTGCTGCAGAAGCGGTCATAGGGATGTTCTAGGGGGTTAATTTACTAATTGATGGTTAGATTTGCACTGAAAGCCAGTTAATCAGTAGCTGTTAACTCCAGAGAGGAGAGAAGAGAGGGGAGTCTGGTTAATGTCCCTGTTACAGGGTTACTGTCTGATAAGTCACTCTTGCTCAATCCTAGAGTCCTTTGCAGGCAGGACCCATTTTGGATATGCCTCAATCCCAGTCTGCTATGAAGATATTTAAGTCCTAATCCCTGTGTTTTAGTTATCTAGTGCTGCTATGACAGAAATACAAGTGGATGGCTTGAGAAATTTATTCTGTCAGTCTAGGAGGCTAGAAGTCTGAATTCAGGATTCCAGCTCCAGGCGAAGGCTTTCTCTCTCTGTCAACTCTGAGGGAAGGTCTTTGTCATCAGTCTCCCCCTGGACTAGGAGCTTCTCGGTGTAGGTACCCTGGGTCCGAAGGACACGCGCTCCTGGCTCTACTTTCTTGGTGATATGAGGTCCCCCATGTCTCTTTGCTTGCTTCTCTCTTTTATATCTCAAAAGAGATTGGCTTAAAACACAACCTAATCTTGTAGATTGAGTCCTGCCTCATTAACATAACTGCTGCTAATCCCACCTCATTAACATCATAGAGGTAGGATTTGTAACACATAGGAAAATCACATCAGATGAGAAAATGATGGACAATCACACAATACTGGGAATCATGGCCTAGCCAAGTTGACAGATACTTTTGGGGGGTACAATTCAATCCATGACACCCTGGTACCTGTAAACATGACCTTGTTTGGAAATAGGGTCTTTGAAGATGTTATTCATTAAGTTAACATGAAGTCCTACTGAAGTATACCAAAAAAAAAAAAAAAAAAAAAAAAACCCATTGCCATCGAATGGATTCCAACTCACAGCGACCCCATAGGACAGAGTAGAACTGAGCAGCTGTAGATTTGAACTGCTGACCTTTTGGTTAGCAGCCACAATCTTAACAATTTCGCCACCAAGGCTCCTACTAAAGTATGGTAGGTCCTAATCCAATGTAAGTGGTCCTAATCCAATATAAGTGGTGTCCTTATAAAAGAGAAGAGACCCAGATAGACACACAGGGGAAAGATGGCCTTGTAAAGATGGAAGCAGAGATTGAAGTGATGCATCTGCAAAT